GAGTCAGAGAGGCGGTCTATTAAAAAAAGAACTTGTGTTGCCTCTGAAGTGGGGGGCAGTCTTATACAGCGAATATAGGCCTAAACCTATGTTTTAACTGTAAAATTAGGGGGTCGTCTCATATGGTGGAAAATACGGTATATATGATTCTTTTAAAGTGGGATTTACAAGCCCTTTGGTCTCTCTGAGACTTCTATTAATTCCATAAGTATTTATTGACCACCTACTATGTACCAGGAAGCAGCTATGAACAAAACAGACTCTTCCCCACCACACTCCATCATGGAGCTGACAGTCTATTCTCAGCACATTCCAACTTAGACTTAACGATTTAGCTATTTACTGGGCTATAGATGCTAGGATGAGTGTAATCCCAGTCTGAATCAGGACTTGCTTTTATTGTTGTTCCTTTTATTATTAAATGTAAAGGTCTACTAATAGAATAAATACCCCAAGACTCAATACCACCAGCATGAACAGAACTTTAGCAATAATCTGTACCCCAAAGTTAACCATACTCCTGAAACTGGTATTTATCCTTTCCTGTCTTGAAAATAATTGTATCTCAAACATGTATTTCCCAAAAAGATGTTGCTTCGCTTTGGTTACTATAACTTTATTAAGAGAGCATCATGCTATATGAAATATTTGGGAGCTTTTTGTCCCACTTGACATTATGTTGCTAAATCCATCCATACTATTTGCCTTTAGCCGAGAACACCACTGTGGCCCTTGGGTGAATTTCCCACAATGCATTTCTCCATTCTCTCAGCGCTGGGCACCAGGGCTGTTACTGGGTTTTCCTCTTCTTCACAGGATAGTGCTGAGCATTATGGGGCGTGTTTCCTGGGACAACAAGCAAGGATTTCTTGTGGCTCTGTATCTGGAAGGTACGGGCGATGTTTTGTGATATGTGACTATCTGGTGTTTCATATTAGTCTGTTTCCCAAAGTGGCTGCAATGCGGAAAAGCCTGTGTGTTTACAGCCTGTCCTACATTTGGCATTGGCGGACGTTTTAAATTTGGGGCAATGATAAAGGGGTGAGAGGAGGCCTCGTTGTGGCCTTGTGGTGCGTTTGCTTGATCCCTAAAGAGGCTGGACATCTCTCCATGCACGTGTTGGTCACCCGTGTCTCACCGTTCACACTAGGCCTGCGCATACTTTTTGCACACTTCCCTCTTGAGTAGCTGTCTTTTTCGTACTTGGAACTTCATTCTTTTCATTTATTTATTTATTTTAAAAAATATTTTTATTGATTTCAAAGAGAGGAAGGGAAAGGAAGATAGAAACATCAATGATGGGAGAGAATCGTTGATCAGCTACCTCCTGCACACCCATACTAGGGATGGAGCCAGCAAGGTGGGCATGTGCCCTGACTGGGAATCCAACCATGACCTCCTGGTTCATAGGTCAACACTCAACCACTGAGTCAAGTTGACCGGGCGGAACTGCATTCTTTTTAAAGGACTGTATCATGTTCCACCAGAAGGCTGTCCCATTATTGATAGCATTCATTCTCAACTGGGGCAAAATTTTGTTCTTGCAGGGTGAAAAAAAAAAAAGGCTTACTCTTTTAATGTACAAAACATAGTATTGTTTTAATTAATATGCAGTTTATCGGTGGTACTAAAATTTTATGAGAGGTGATTAGGAGAAATATCTAAAACTGCTCTGGGTAGACTAATAATGAAAGAAAGACTGGGAAACATTTATTTATATCAATTTTCACAAGTAAATGGCAATGAAGATCTTTCAGGGTGTATATATTTTTTCCCAAGTTCAGGACAGACTCCTGGAACTTGGACGATATGGTTTAAACTTGTCTTAGACCTCTTGCCAAATGGCTCTCCTAATCCATACACACATTTACTTCCAAGCAAGTTATGAAAAGTCTGTTTCACTACCTTCTCACCAGCACTGGGTTTTGTTAAATTTTAAATCTTTACCTATTTTTTAAAAAGGAAGGGGGAGGGAGAGAAAGATGGAAACATCAATGATGAGAATCATTGATCAGCTGCCTCCTGCACGCCCCCTACTGGGGATCCAGCTTGCAACCCCGGCATGTGTCCTTGACTGGGAATCAAACCAGAGACCCTTCAGTCAGCAGGCTGACGATGCTCTATCCACTGAGTCAAACCGACTAGTGCAGTGGTCAGCAAATTGTGGCTCTTTGGCCCCTTGAGTTTTTAGCAAAGGCCAGCTTAGAAGTACCCTATAATTAAGTTAATAACAATATACCTACCTATATAGTTTAAGTTTTAAAAATGTGGCTCTCAAAAGAAATGTCAATCGTCGTACTGTTGATATTTGGCTCTGTTGACTAATGAGTTTGCCAACCACTGGGCTAGGGCAAAGCTTTACCTATTTTTAACGAGTGCCAGAGCATTGTGTGTTCTTGTTTTTATGATCGTTTCTTTGGTCTCTGCAAAGCTGGACATTTGCTATGTTTGCTAATCCGTCTTTTGGGAATGTTCTAAAATGGAAGGCCTGTAGGCCAACACATTTGGAGGAAAGGCGGTCCTTATTACAGAGGGGCAGACGTTTGGCTAAGTTGCATCCCACAGTTGTAGGGAAAGCAGAGCTTGTAACTAAGAGATGAGCTTGGATAGTTAGCAGCGGGGGATTTCCTGGTTTCTTCTCCCCGCCGCCCGTAGTAAAATGTGGGCGGGAAGAAGTGTTAGGCACAGAGAAACCAGGATTCCATTATTGGGGAGATCCTCAGTCTATTCAGATCACAAAAGAAGCTAAATTTAGGAGATCACTTAGCAGGTGACCTGGGGCAGGTGGCTAAGCCTCTCTGTGCTCATTTCCTCCGGGGTGAGATGGGAATGGAGGTGGTAGGGGAGTGAGGGTTAGAGGAGCAGGCTTGTGTAAACTGCTTAACACTATGCCTGCAGGCCCAGGGGTGGCCTCGTGGGGGAAATGATGGGTGGAGGGCTGCTTCTGGGCCCCAGGTTAATGCCCTCTGGACCCTAATCCCCGCCTGACTACCAGTGTACCCCTCCCCTCCCCTCTTCTCTCCTCCTCTCCTCCCAGGTACCTAACTCCCTGAGGCAGGGGTGGGATCCCATCCAGCTGGGGATTAACGGAAGCAGATTAGAGGTGCACTGAGGAAGAGGGATCTCCATGCCCTTAACCCTTCCCTCACCAGAGCCAGAGCTGGATGCCCAGATTGCCTCCAGTGACTTCAGGTGCGGGAGAGGGGAGGCCGCCTCCAATGTCCCCCCTCACGCTTCGGGGGCGTAAAGAAGGCGTTAGGATTAGGGTCCTTAAGCTTTTGACATGCTGGCTGACGGGAGTGGGGGGGAATAAGTTCCCCTCCTTGGGCCTCACTTTTCTCTTCTGAAAAATGGGCAGAAGGATGTGCAGATGAGACAGAAAGCGTCCGCATCCCCCGGTGAATGCCCCTCGTGGTTGAAATGTTTACAGAGCCTACACTTACTAAGCATCTACTGTGCTGGCAGGGCTGCTGTTTGCCTGCGATCTCCCAGTCCCCCGGGGGCCCAGCTTCGCACACAGACCCACGGAATCCACTTCCAGAGCCCCTAGCGTCAGCCATGGCTCCGGAAGGGCAGTCCCAGGGTCTGATTTTCTTCTCCCGGGATGCTCCCTGTCCACATCCTAAACCCTGGCGTCCTCCCAGGGGGGGCTGGGAGCCGTGTCCCCAAAGGGGTCCCTGAATTCCTGGAGGGAACTGGGGTCGCAGGTAGGAGGAAGTCGGATATGGGATCTTCTCCACCCCACCAGGCCCGAGAACATCCCCTCCCGTCGTCCCCCAGCTGCGCCAGACGCAGAGCCGAGAGGGGGGAAGGGGGCGGCGCCTGCGCTGCGGCGGCCGGAGGAGGGGGGACTGCGGAGAGCGCCTGGGAGGGGCGGGGGAGCGGAGGCTGCGGCACCGCGTCCCGGGCCCGCGGCAGCCGAGCGGCAGGGGCGGGGGCGCCGACCCTCCGCGGCCCCTCCCCTCCCCCACTGCGGGGACCTCGCCATTCATCCTGGCGGGGAGGGGGCGCCCGATCCCGGCCCCACCCTCCCCTCCCGCCTCCAAGCCCCGCGTGACCCCCAGGGGACCCCCGCCCCCAGGTCTGTCGCCCTCGGTGTCCGAGTCTCTGTGTCCCCATCTGCCCCGTCTCCCCGCTGTGCGTGTTTGTGACCGTGTGTACCCGGGACACCTGCACCCTCACGGGCCCGGCCGGCCTGGGACGGTGATCCGGGGGACCAGCGTGTGGGCCAGTCCCAGGCCTGGGGTGTCTTGCCATGATTGTCCACCTCTGTGTCCGGATGACACCCCGAGGCTGTGAGCGTGTGGGTCCCCGTGTGTCTGCCTGGGTGGCACGCTCAGGCTGTCAGTGTGCGTCTGTGCTGGTGGCATCCTGCAAGAGGTGTGCCTCCCAGACACCCATCGGCTGTGCGCGCGGGTCCCCGTGTGTCTTGCCCCCCGCAGGCTGTCTGGAACGCGCCGCGGCGCTCGGGGTGCGGGTCTGCGCGCGTCGGGGTGCTGGCGACAGTGGGAGGCCAGGAGGCCCGGGCCGCCAGTGCCCCTAGCCGCCTGCGTGTGAGCGAGTGTGTGCGTGTGTGTGTGTGTGAGCGTGTGTGTGCATGTATGTGTGTGAGCGTGTGTGTGTGTGCGTGTGTGTGTGTGTGTGTGAGCGCGCGCCGCCGAGACGCTGGTTTCGCTCCAGCCCGCCGGGGGCTCCGGACCCGCCGCCGCCGCCGCTCCGCGGCCTCCCCCGGCGCGGGCCGGGCAGGGATGGAGCTGCCGCAGCCGGGGCCGGGGCGCCCGGCAGCCTGAGGAGCCGGCGACGCGCGGGGCCGGGGGAGGCGGGCCGAGGGGAGGGTCCTGAGCACCGGGGGGCGGGCACGGCGCGCCCCCTCCCTCGCGCGCCCGCGCCCTCCCCCGCGCGCCCTCCCTCGCCGCCTCCTCCCGCCGCCTCCGGCCCCCCCGCGCCGGGGACCGAGCGCGCTCGCTCCGGCGCCGGCCTCGCCTCCTCGCAGCAGCGCCATGGTACGTCGCCGCCCCCACTTTCGTTTTCGCCCGGGGAGTTTTTGGGGTGGTGCGTGGGCTCCGGGCGAAAGTTGTCAGGTCTGGGGGGGCTGCCCCGAGGAAGGGCTGATGCAGGGACCCCCGCTCCCTCCCGCCACCCGGGACCCCCGCCCGCCGACGCCCCCCCTCGCGTCTGGGGGCGGAGCTGGCAACAGGGCGCAGCGGGGGATCCCGAGTTGGGGGGGAGGGCTCGCGGGAGCCGCTGTATCGGCGGGGAGGGCGGGGCTCCCGGGAGAGGGTCCCCCCCAACCCGGCCGGACCCCCGCCCCCTACCGGGCCCGGTGGGAGGCGGGAGGGCGCGGCGTGGGGCGCCTGGCCCCGCAGCGCGCAGCCCGCGGGGGAGCGGGCCCGGGAGGGGCCGGGGCCGGGGCTGCGGCGGCCCCCGGGCGCCCCGGCCCGGCGAGCGCGGCGCGCCAGCTAGCGGAAAATGGCCGCTGCGGAGAGGGGCGGAGAGCGCCGCGGCCGCCGCCGGGCGCCTTGAACTTGGAGCCGGGCGGGCGGCTGCTCCCAGCGCCGCGCAGGGGAGCCCGGGGCCTGCCCTGCGCAGCGGAGCCCCGCCCACAGGCCGACCCCGGCCCGGCCCCGCGGATCCTGCCGGGAGGGGTCACCGGGCCGGGCCGGAGCGCCCCAGGCGGGCGAGCGTCCGCGCCTGCACTGGAGGGTTCCGGTGTCTGGTCCGCGGGCGTCGGTGGCATCCGCACTGGAGGCTGCGTTTGGGGCTGCAGTGCTCCTGCTCCCAATCGGATCGGCACGGGAATCCGGGGCTGCGTTCGCGGGTGTGTGCTGCCAGGTGGTCCTGTCCCCGTCCCCGTCGGTGGGTCCCCGGGTCCCCATGCGTCGGGTCCTCTTCTTTCTGTGTCTGCGCACCCACGTGGCTGGGTGTGTTGTGCTGCGTGTGGCAGAGCGTCGTGCGGCTCTGGACAGTGTGCGTGTGTTTGGGTAACCGGGCGGCTTGCCGTGTGTCCCCGTGGAGCGGTGCTGGGAGGCCGTGTGGCTGCGCCGTGTGCCCCCCGGGGGCAGCGATGTCCCCGGGTGACCTTATGGGTGTCCCTGTGTGAGTGACAGCCAGGGGCTGTCGGTGAGTGCAGAGTGGGAAACGGTGTCGTGTGGCCACATCCCAGGGGACAGTTGGGTGTCTCTTTCTCTCTGCAGGCGATGGGCGCTGAGTATCTGTCTTGGGGATGGGTCTACACTCTCCTCCCTCCTCTCCAGTTCCTTTTAACTGCCCCAGGGCTGCTGGGGGGGGGCTTCCTCTGCCTAGCCTCACCCTCACTCCCCCCCTGCAATTCCCCCTGCCTCGGGATCCCCAACTGGCATGGACCTGGATGGTCCTGGCTTGAGGTTCAGGCGGAGGTGGCTCAGGGACAGTCACTCTAGGGGCTGTGCCTACTGGGGAGGGGAGCAGGGAGGTGTGGGTCCCCCCTCTACTGCGGAGGAGGTCCTGAGGAGGGTTGGTTACAGAAGCGCAAGGGGCTAGTTCCAGCTCAGGGGTGTGGCCAAACAGACTCCCTTAGCCCCCTCCTGCCTCTCTGCACTTGCCAGGGGACCAGGCAGGGTGGGTGGGGGTCCAAAGGGTTGTGTTCCACCCTCCAGGGCAATCCCTGCCCAGGGCCTCTCTGTAACTTTCTAAAGAGGAAAGCGCGAAGATCAGGCCAAATCTCTGCTTTTGACTCCAGACCTGCATCTCATGCTGGGAGGACTGTTTGGGAAGGAGGAGGGAAAGGGGTCCCGCGCTGACACTGGAGTACAAACAGCGCTCAGGGTTCCATGTTCCCACCAGTTCCCCCACCCTCAGGCCCTTCCGCTCCATCCTCACCCCTCCCTACAGCGACTGCAGACACAGCCCTCTCCCGCACACTCCCCTGCAGGCACACTCACTGGCTGCCCTGCACCGCACTCCCCCATCCGTCCCCACTGTTTCCAGGTGCCCAGGGGGACACATTCACGTATGCACCTCCACAAGCGCACACCCACGATGCATCCTTAGGCGCTTGGTCACAGTCACACCTGTACATCATTCTGTGCACACAGCCACACAGATCCACACTGTCACACACACACAAATATACACCAGCGCTCACAGGCACCTGCATTTATGGAAGAGGGAGGAACCCATCTGTGGGGACTGCCCGGAGAAAGGAACAGGGATGTGGTGTGCTGTGTGTCACTGTGTGTGTGTGTGTGTGTGTCCCCATATACCTGTGTACGAATACTGGATTCTGTTGTAGGTGTGTGTGCTTGTTAGCATGTGTCATTGTGTTTGGGTATGTGTGATTATGGGAGAGTGTATGCATGTTGTGTTTGTGTGTACATTTGTGTGGGTCTATGTGTCAGTGTGTTTTTCTGTATGCGTGTGCATGTAATTTGCGTGGGTCTATGTGAATCTGTGTGTTGTGTCTGTGTGACTGTGTGTGATATGTGTGTCTGTGTGCATCATGTTGGATCTGTTTATCCGTATATCAGTCTGTGTTTGTGAAAATCTATGTCTGTGTGGCATGTCTGTGTATGTGTGAATCTGTGAATGTGTGGTATGCTGTGTGTGTTTGTATGTGTCTGGATGTGTATGTGACAGTGCCAGCCCTAGTGTCAGATCCCACCTTGACTTCTCATGGCTGAGGATCTGAATGCTCCCTTCTAGAGTCACTGTTTCTTATCTGCAAAATGGAAACTGGCACTCCATGGCCAAGGAGGAGTGAGTGGCATGGTCAGGACCAAGCACTCACGGGCTTGGCTCCGTGCTGTGTCCTCTGTCTGGAGGGAGGGTGCGGGGTGTGGCAGCTGTGGGGTTCCCACTGGTCCCTCTTCTCCCTGCCTGAGCTGCTCTGTGAGTGCCACTCACTGCTCATGGACATCTGAAGAGAGGACAGAAGTAAAAGTGGAGCCTTCCTCACCACCCCACCCTGGTCAGAGCCCAATCCAGGGATGCCCTGTTGTCATCAACCTCGTTTTAGTAATTGCAGGTGGAACAGATACACAGTCTTATAAAGGACACACGTATATTCTTATAAAGCTTACATTCACATCTTACACCATAAAGGACACATGTATATTCTTTTTTTTTTTTTAATCCTAAATGAGACCTTGACTCCTCCAGCTGAGTCTACAACAGAAGTTCTCAGCCAGGGGTAGCTTTGCCCCCATGGGACAATGGGCAGTGTCCAGAGGCGTCTGTGACTGCCATGCTGGGGTGTTCCTGGCATGTAGTGGGAGAAGGAATCGGGTCCAGACCTCACTCTCCCCAGATGTCTGTCTCCTGGAGACGTCCCACGTAGGAGCCCCGTGTTCTTCTGTGGAGCTGCATAGTATTCCAGCCCGGGCCACGTCCTTGGCAGTATCCACTGGCCCCCCACAGAGGGACACAGGGCGGCTGGCTCCAAATTGTCAACACTACTGTGCATCATTATCCGGGACAGTTACAGAGAAGCCAAGAGCAAATTCTAAGGAAAGTCCTTTTTTAAAAAATTTTAACAAAGGAGCTAATTTGTGGTCCAAAATGCCAGGAACTAAATTATGCACCCACTCCCATCCCCCGACCCTTCCGCACACAGGTCTGATTCCACCAGTTGGTTTTTATTTTTTATTTTTCAAAAATGTATTTTATTGATTTTTTTACAGAGAGGAAGAGAGAGGAATAAAGAGTTAGAAACATCGATGAGAGAGAGAATCACGATCAGCTGCCTCCTGCACACTCCCTACTAGGGATGTGCCCGCAACCAAGGTACACGCCCTTGACCAAACCCAGGACCTTTCAGTCCGAAGGCCCACCCTCTATCCACTGAGCCAAACCAGTTTCGGCCAGTTGCTTTTTAAAGAAACCACTGTGTGCAGGCATTGTTCTCTACCTCTGGCCAACCTGTAATTGATTTATCCATAATCCAGGGGGTAGAAATGATCATCGATCACCCCATTTCACAGAGTGGGGAGCGGAGGCACAGGGGAGGTTAAGTTGCTGGCTGGCAACGTGGATCCAGGCTGCACCCTTTCAGCACAACTGGCCTGCTGTGGACCTACTGTGTGCACTGCAGGGGCCTCTCCTTCCCTGAACCGTGGGAAATTATCTATAAAAGGGTAGGCAAAGTAGGTGTACAGTTGTGAGTTTGTGACACAGAATTTCTCCTTGCACTATTTATTAATTATTGTATTCTAACTGTAAACCTACTTTTGCTAACCCCTGTGTGTGTGTGTGTGTGTGTGTGTGTGTGTGTGTGTATGGGTTGCTGGTAGTGGACTTGCAGAAGGTTCTACCATCCACCACAACTAATAATATTAGCACAGTCCTCACACACATTATCTCATTATCTCACGGACTCTGATATCTGCCGTCTTCCGAGCTCTGCCCTGATGTTGCCATTTCACACGTGTGGAAACGGGGGGCAGTCTGTGCTCTCCAAACTTTACCCGGGAAAGGACGCTCACCTGCTCCGTGAGGGCGGGGATGGGGCGCGCTCTGAGGAGAGTGTTCAGAAATCCATTTTAACTTTTAAACGTCTGTGAATTGGGTGGGTCTGCCATCTACATGTTCCTGGCTTTTAAAAATATATATATATATTGCTTTGTTTTATGTTTGCATTTGGGTTCCTAGGCACCTGCCTCCCCCATTCATCCTGGAGTTTGAAATGCCCACCACCACTGCACCGTGGGGGGTTTAAAAAAAACATTTGTGAAGCCCTCACGATGTGCTAAGGGCTGTTTGAATAACTGTCAGCCACACGCTGAGAAGCACAGGGACCAGGGAATCTGCTGTAGGTGAATCCTGCTCCCTCCTCCTCCCGCACTGTGGCCATGGGCAAGCGGCCTGCATTCCCGGGGCCTCAGTTTCCTCCCCAGTAATTCAGGGAGATAACAGGGTTTTGGCCTGGGCGCGGGGCCCGAGCCCCACATTGGGCCTCAGGATGTTCCGAGAGACTAAGGGCCAAGCTTTCTAACAATGTCTTGGTGCACTTCAAAAATATTTTTATTGA